TGCTTCTGAGCTTGATGGTCGCTTGTTTACCTTCAAGCCTTTAAGACCCCAGACGCTATACTTTTTGATAGCCGGGCACCATCAGCTTTCTTCGCCATATTTGCTTATGCACCCATTTGTCTTCAGTGATTCTTTTGGCAGTCCATGGTACTTTCAGTATGCTTCACCAGCACCATCATTCCCGATGATTCGTCAGTCTTTTGTTTTCAGTGTCCGACTTTCACATGCATATGGGGTGATTGAAAATTTTATGGCTTTAGTCAGGCACACCTTAGTCCTCAAAGTTATATCCTTGCTTTTTAATACATGCAGCAGATTGACCCAATGCAATGCATCGATTGAACTTTGACTGCTACTTCTATGAATATTGATTGTGGATCCAAATAAGACAGAATCCCGACAACCTCAATGTTTTCTCCGTTCATCATGATATTACATAGTGGTCCATTTGTGACCATTTTGATTTTCTTTAAATTGAGTTGCAATCCTTGATCTTCATGGACAAGTGCTTCATGTCCTCCTCACTTTCAGCAAGCAAGGTTGTCTGCTGTGTATCACAGATTGTTAATAAGCCTTTCTCCAGTCCGGATGCTGTGTTCTTCATATAATTCAGCTTCTCTGAATAACTTGTTCAGCATACAGATGGAAGAATTATGGTGAGAGGCTACAACCCTGTTACACACCTTCCCTAATTGAAACCATGCAGCATTTCCTTGTGTTTTTTACTTTAGTACAATTTTCTCTGGATCCATTTATAGGTTCCACTTGAGCACAATGAATTGTTCTGGATTCCCCCTTCTTACGACTATTCATAGTTTGTTATGGGCCATTCAGTTGAATGCCTTTGCTTTGTCAGGAAAACACAAGTAAACATCTTTCTGGTATTCTCTGCTTTGAGCCAAGATCCATCTGACAGCAGACGTGATATTCCTGTTTCATGTAAACTTCTGAATCCGGCCGGAATTTCTGGCAGCTCCCTCTCAATACACAACTGCCCCCGTTCTTGGATGTTCTTCAGCAAAATTTTACTTCCATGTAATATTGATATTCTATAATGTGCACATTCAATTTTGGAATTGATACAAATTGGGAGTTTTAGTCAGTTATCCAGGTAGCTGCCTTCCAAATACCTTTTTGTAGACAAATGAGTGTTTCCAGTACTTCATAAGTTTGGTGAAATATGTTAATTAGTATTCAGTCAATATCCTGGGTGCTTGTGTTTTGCTAATGCTTTCAGTGCATGTTGAATTTCTTCCTTGGTTCTTGCTCTTATGCTATCTCTTGAAATGATTGTCAACAGTGCTTTTTGGTGTAGCGACTGTGTATTCTTTCCATTCTTTTCTTTTGATTCTATTGTATCATTCAATATTTTGTCCTTAGAATCTTTCAGTATCACAACTCGAGGCTTGCCTGTTTTCTTTATTGCATTTAAGATATGCTGAGTATGTTCTTTCTTTTTGTTTTTCTAGCTTTATATCTTTGCATATTTTATTATAATGTTTTACTTTGACTTCAAGCTGCCCTTTGACGTTTACTGCTTAATTTTTCAACTTCATCATTTCTTTTATTTGGCTTAGCTACTCTATGATTAATAGCAAATTTCAATCTCTCTGACAACCATTTTGATCTTCTCTTCTGACTTGTTAATGCCCTTTGCTTTCTTTACGTATGATATTCTGGATGTCATTCCACAGCTCATCAGGTCTCTCCTTACTGCTCAATGTTTTGGGGATGTTCTTCGAATTCAGGTTGGGTAGACTGAAGGGCATCTTTTGGCTTTCGTGGTCTTATTTTAATTTTCTTCAGCTTCAACCAGAAATCACTTATCAGCAATCGTCGCCTTTTGTATTGTTGAACAAAGATACTTACAGTGAAAAAGTCACTGGTCTTGCAAAATTTCATCATGCAACTTACAGGTTCATTTCTATCACCAAGGTCATGTTTTCCAACTACTGTTCCTTCCTCTTTGTTTCTCAGTTTTGCATTCTAATTGCTAATAATTATGAGCGTAGCTTGCTTGCATGTTTGATCAATTTCAAACTGAAGACATTGGTAAAACTGTTCAATTTCTGCATCGTCATCTGAATCATGGTTGTATCAACCAGATATCCTGTATGCGGATAGACATTAAGATCCTGAAATGTCCAAAGGGGGGAGGGGGGTTGAAAGGAAAGGAGAAAACTGGGTAAGCCTGGGTACCTGATATGTGTCAGCACTCTCTTTTAGCCAAGGAGAGGAGAGATTGGGATGCCTCGTCTTGGATGAAGTTACTGCCAGCGGGTTATCTGGGGTCAGGGACCTGATCTGGAAGTAGTTCATGCAAGCTCAGAGGTAACTTGGGGCAAGGACAAGGACAGGAGACTTGGAAGGAATTCCTGCCCACT